CGCCGTGGGAGATATTCCCGGTGTTAGGTTCAAGGTGGTGAAGGTGTCTGGGGTTTCACTTTTGGCTCTTTTCAAGGAGAAGAAGGAGAAGCCTAGGTCTTAAGTTCCTATCGTTTCTCGTGTTTTCGATTTTGGTGAATTTGTCCCTAATGTTTTTAGTCGATTCTGTGGACGATATTCTTGTTTTTTATAAGCTTATTTATAAGAGTTGTACTTGAGCTTCACATTATCATTCTCCATCCAACTTTTAGCTTATAAACGCTTGCGATATTTCATTTAAATTTCGATTATGGTACGCTTGACTAAAGTTACGTTGTTTCTTGTTTTATGTCAAAGTTGAGTTTTGTTGTATAACTTGTGGGATTGCAGGTGAAAAAAACTTGGGATTTTTGTGTCTGATTGCTCGTGAATGCAGTCCAATCCTGTTCTTTTTTTTTTTTAAAGTTTAAGCAGATATTCTGCAGTGTGCAGTGTGTATTGATCATTTACAGAAGCAAGAATTCAAGAATTTTATTTACAGAAATGTCTTGGAGGCGTTTGTTTGAAACCGTGTGAAATTTCATCTTTAAGTGAAGTATTAATAAAAACGCGTCTCGACTTGTTCAATTCTTTTTCAATTTTTTAAGCCATTCGCTGAAAAATCTCCACATTTCAACACACTTATATTGAAGTCTTAAACTGTTGTGTTGGTATAAGAACTTCTGCAAAGCGATGTCTGAGTTAGCTATTTAAATGCAAATAGACCATGTCAAGAGAAGAATAAATCATGACCTTGCACCAAATGGCCTCAAACATAAACTAATTTTAGAATACAGTTAACTTTTGTCTTACAGTATTTTTGTTTCACCATTACAATCTCAGCTTATACAGGCAAACAACCTATAAAATGAAGGATAGAAAGTAGAAAACGTACACATACAAATCATCTCAACTATTCCATTCTCTTTGAATAACTTTGTCGACATTCATCTCCGTGCCTGGTCGAGTCGCCACTCGCTCTCATAATACTCGTTCGGCAGCCCTAACCAGAACTTGAAAGCCTCGGCAGCCCTTTTTCTCTCCTTCCTCCTATCTTTCCTTGCCTGCGAAGCGTGCTTACTAGTAAACATCCTCGAATGCATCTCAACATAAATCCTCTTATACTTAGTCTTATTCGGAGATATACCGTTCTCTTCCATGCACGCCACAATCTCCAAAGCCTTCCTAAAAAAAGCTGCCCTTACGCATATATCCGCCAAAGCATCCAAAAGCCCCTCATCTGGTTTCAAAGCCGGGATCTTTTCATTCACGGGCCCGGGCTCACATCTCTCTTTCACCTCTTTCCATAGCAAAAGAGCCTCCCCCGGTTTTCTCGCTATAGCTATCCCGTTCGCTAGACTCCCGTATGTGGCCACGTTCGGAAAAAACCCATTTTCCTTCATTTTTTTAATAACCCCTTTCGCCTCCTCAACCAAACCGAGCTTACAATACCCCTCGACCAACACATTCCATGCGACTAAATCAACTTTCACGCGCGGGTCCTGCAACATCTCGTCGAAGACACGTCCGGCCAGCCTCGGCTGGCCGGACGAAGCGAAGGCTTTCATCAATGTCGTGTAGCTCACCTTCGAGGGAGCGATCCCCCGCTTTCGCATCTCGTTGAAGTACGTTAGTGCGCCCGAGCTATCGTCGATGAGTATACATCCATCGATCAACGTGTTGTAAGAAATCACGTCGGGCTCAATTCCCGACTCGACCATCTCCCGAACGAGACTCTCGGCTTTGTCAATCTGATGCTGATGGCAATAGCCTTTGAGGAGAATGTTGTAAGTTACGAGGTTCGCCGGGATATTGATTTTAGCCATTTCTTTTAGCACTTGCCGAGCTTTTTCCATCGAACCGGATTTTACAAAGGCGGATATTACAGTTGTGTAAGTGACGTGGTCCGGATGGGAAAGAGTGTCCTCTTGGTGCCTCATTGCCTCGAGCATTCTAACCGTATCGGCCACTCGACCGGCTTTCATATAGCCTTTCATTAAAGTCGTGTAGATTCTCGTGTCGGGTGTAACCGGGTTAGGCAAATTGGGCGGTGGGTCATAATCATGATCGATCGAGTAATTTGGTAGTAATTTTACGAATAAGTCATTTTCGTGCCTCATTACTTCATCCTCTTCCTCCTCCTCCTCCTCCTCCTCCTCCTCCTCATCATCATCATCATCATCATCATCATCCTCCTCAGAGTTATCAGAGTATGTGTCATTGAGGCAAGAATCCCTCAAAACCCTGCAAAGGTCTAATCTTCTTTCTCTCATTGCCTGAACAAGCTTTTCGGCAGTCTCCAAATCGCCAAATCCGACATAAGCCGCAACAAGAGAATGTAAAGTCGTTAAGCAAATTGGTATCTCCTTTTGGATTATTCTTTCGAGAACATAAACGAGCAGGTCCTTCCTCTCGACCCGAGCAAACAATTTGATCATGATGTTATACGTTAAGATATTCGGCTCGCATTTGAACTGAGGCATTTCATCGAACAGTTGGTGGAAAGTCTTGACATCGCCCAAATTAGCACAGGCATTGAGGACGGCGTTGTAAGCACCTGTGTCGGGTCTCGAATTTTCATCGACCTCGGAATCTTGAAGCCTGCGGACCCTTTTCGTGACGGAATTAAAGAGCTTAAGGGCTTCGGTTGGGCCGTCGTCGCCGGAGGCGGCAAGCCGGCTCACCACGGCACTCCACGCCTTGACATGGGGAAGGTAGCCCGACTTGAGCATGGATTTGACTATGGAGACGGCGTAGAGGGTGTGGCCGCCCTTGGCGGCGGCGACCGCCAGGAGGCCGAGCGAGTTGGCGTCGAGACGGTGGAGCTGCCGCTCGAGGCGGAGGCGTTGGATGATGGACTGAGCACGGGTGAGGCCCTCCGCTGTGTTGAGGTAGGAGAGCTGGGCGACCAGTCGGCTGAGGCAGGCGGCGCTCGGGAGGTGGGGGCATTGTGTGTAAAATTGCCAGGCCTCGTTGGTTTTCCGCTGCTGGAGGAGGGTGAGGAGGACCTGGTCGTGGGAGCCGCCGCCGCCGCCGCCGCCACCTGCGGTGGCGGAAGCGGCGGAGGAGGAGGAGGAGGAGGAGATGGATGTGCCGGAGGGGTTTTTAGTGGTGTGGACGCGGAT